ATTAACTTGGGAGCACACTCTCTTAGTGTTTTAACCTGTTAACAGTTTGTGTAATCAAATACACAAATTATGTATCAGTTAATCTGTAACAGAACTGGTATTGTTTAATCTCCTACATTGCTAAAATCCATGGTTCAATTATCAGAGCTCATGATATGTATAATTTGTTTTAAGTTAACATTTCCCAGTATTAGGATTCGTTTAATCAAATAATAATAATTATTATTATTTTACCTGGTAGATCTTTAAAATGTGCATTCGCATGGCTTAGGGTGTTATGGGGTTCGAACCCTGTCACCGAACATGCGCGCTCTTTCAGCCGTGGAGGCTTTATAATGTGATGGTCAATCCCACTATTCGTAGGTAAAAGAGTCAACCAAGAGTTGGCAGTGGGTGATGTTGACTAGCTGCTTTCCCTTTAGTCTATTACTGCTACATCAATGATGGCTAGTGTAGATAGGCCTCGTATAGCTTTAAGCGAAATTCAAAACAAACTAAACTTTGAAGTGCAAAAAGCATTTCATTACTCTAAGTACACAATCCCAGAATATCTGCTAGTTTACACTCTCTTATGTAGCACTAAGGTCAGCTATTAGGTAGAATATTCAGATAATAACAACTGTTTCTTTCTATATTATTCAAAGAAGCGACCTTTAATTTGAGCAAAATTATATAACTTCAAATACTATAATTTATGGATTATCATCTAGTACTATTAGAAATCATTTACTGCAGTATTTCACAATCTTTTCAACACAGATAGCTCTTCTCTGCCTTTATGCACACTCTGAATAAAACACGCACTCCCTAATCTTTCTAAAGTTAGAAATATATAGGGGCTATTTTCATATATGTTCATAACAACTTAAAATTGATGTAACTGTAAACAAAATATATAGGAATATTTATGTTGAAATACATATTGTCATAATGTTGTGGTACCATGTATTTTCTACTTCCTTGGTTAATATATAAACTATCTGGAATTTCTTTATTCGTTTCAGTTGATTTTGGACACAGAAAGTTGCTCATGTAAATACACCTAATTTATATCAGGACCTAGGTTCACTAATTGGCAGTTAATTTATATCAGGACCTAGGTTCACTAATTGGCAGTTAATTTATATCAGGACCTAGGTTCACTAATTGGCAGTTAACTGAATTTTCTTCCGGGAAAGATGACCCAAAATAGAAAGCTATCTTTTCTTGACCCGGGGTTTTCCTGCTCTTGCACTTGAGTCGTTGTGAACAAAAGCCACATGGTTGATGAGTGAAGTGTGCAACCTGGCTTTGTGTGATCTTATTGTGCTTTGCATTAAAAGTAACAGACAGTTTCTCCATTTTTAGCTAATCTTTCTTTATTCAAGCGTTTAGCAGACTTTAACATTTTGTTTTATAATTTTAACTTTGTTTTCATTTTAGTTATTTGCTTTAACTGGCAGTGTGAGACATTATTTTGTTTCATGTTTTAACTTAGTGTTGTAGTTTAATTTATGGCGGGAAGGGGCACACACACACACTGAACTAGTAAAAGAGGGTTCACTAAGATTTCAATTCCCTTTTCTCTCATCACTTCAAAACACTTAGTACAGTCCCACCTATCCATGTTTTATTTTAATGTCTTGTGTTGGTAACTGTGTTTATGAGTAAAAATTACTAGTATGCATCTTCTGCATTTCGACGAACTCAGTCAGACACATACGCCGTGACTTCGAACCTCCAGTTAGCGAGTCCTAACTGACTATTCATTAGGAAATACATGAACCGTGGAATAGCCAGAATGTTAACCTTTAAAATGGCAAATAATACATCGTCATTCAGCAGTTGACTTGTACAAGATGATAATGACACTTTGCGGACACCATGGAAAGGGAACAGTTTAGTTTGTTTTGAATTTCGCTTAAAGCTAATGAGGGTTATCTGCACTAGCCGTCCCTAATCTAGCAGCAATAAACTAGAAGGAAGGCAGCTAGTAAACACCACCCAACGCCAACTCTTGGGCTACTCTTTTACCAACGAATAGTGGGATTGACAGTCACATTATAATGCCCCCACGTTTGAGAGGACGAGTATGTTCGATGAGAGGGATTCGAACCCGCGACCCTCAGATTGCGAGTCGAGCGCTCAACCACTAGGCTTTGCCAGACCGGAGGGGCAAACCCAAAGTTGGGAAACACCAATTTTCTGGCTATAGATATTATCTTATTTTATTTACGATCTCAAGCTTGCTTATAAAACCAACATGATAATTCATGAAATTAAGTCGAATCTCACACAATACCAGGAGTAAAATATACATCAAAGGCACAATGTACACTTACAATAATTTTTATTTACACATAAATAACTCACTTGGTTTATTATTTATACAATATTTTAATTAAAACATTCTGATACAAGGACAAAACACCTTAGCAAATATGTAACAAAAAATCATAGGTATACGCAAATACAGACATGACTGAAAATAAATTCACCTTCATAGCCGTACATATAAAACTGTTGTTAAAACATTACCACCGCTTTTTTAACTTATAGGGCACAATATACAGTTTAAATGTTTCCGAATTAAAGTCTATTCTTTGCAAGTTTATGAACAATTTATTCTAGTCTCGTGTTAACAGATTCTGCTACTGATATGTCAGTAGTTAACATTTTGGTCTTTGTTCTAGAACGAAAAAAAATGTCGCTAATTTAAACATCATGTTAAAAGATTCATGAATTGTCATTTATAATAAAACAGTACAGACTAAAAAACGTTCACGTTCAGGTTTCGATATTAATTTCAATAAGTAATTATTACTTCTCATTTAAATCACAAACTTTCTTGGGATGAAGTTTAAGCTGAGATAATAAACCCTGTTATTAATAAATAAATAAATAAAAATGAAGTGTTTATAACATTTGTTTATTCTTCTACGTCCTTGTTCGGTGGGTCAGCTGTAAGTTCATGAATGATATTAATATAGTTCCCCAGGTGGGTCAGCTGTAAGTTCATGAATAATATTAATATAGTTCCCCAGGTGGGTCAGCTGTAAGTTCATGAATAATATTAATATAGTTGCCCAGGTGGGTCAGCTGTAAGTTCATGAATAATATTAATATTGTTCCCTAGGTGGGTCAGCTGTAAGTTTATGAATTATATTATTATAGTTCCCCAGGTGGGTCAGCTGCAAGTTCATGAATGATATTAATATAGTTCCCCAGGTGGATCAGCTGTAAGTTTATGAATGATATTATTATAGTTCCCCAGATGAGTCAGCTGTAAGTTTATGAATGATATTATTATAGTTCTCCCAGTGGGTCAACTGTAAGTTCATGAATGATATTAATATAGTTCCCCCAGTGGGTCAGCTGTAAGTTTATGAATGATATTATTATAGTTCCCCAGGTGGATCAACTGTGAGTTTATGAATGATATTATTATAGTTCCCCCAGTGGGTCAGCTGTAAGTTTATGAATAATATTATTATAGTTCCCCAGGTGGGTCAGCTGTAAGTTTATGAATGATATTATTATAGTTCCCCAGGTGGGTCAGCTGTAAGTTCATGAATGATATTATTATAGTTCCCCCATTGGGTCAGCTGTAAGTTTATGAATGATATTATTATAGTTC